CTGTTTAGAATCTCTGTGGTTTTTATAGGCTCCTCAAACTTAACACGTTCATACCTGAACTGCTGCTCTTCTCGCAGAAAACTTACATAATGGCAGCTTCATCCATCCAGCTGCTCAGGCCAGATACCTTGAAGTTGTTCTTGACTTTTTTTCTCTCATGCCTCATGTCACAGTTTATCAGCATATCTTATTTGACTCTTACCTTAAAAATACACAGAAAATTTGACGTCTCCCCTTCTCTGCTGCCACCACCCGGGCCCGTCCAGCTGCCTTTACCCCTTTCCTGGGTTGTTGCCTAAGCCTCCTCCCTCACCACTCTTCGTGCTGTGCCCCTTGCATCCTTTTAGGTTTTTCTTAGTGGCCAGGGTGGATCTTACGTAAACGGAAGTCAGATCGTGTCTTTCTTTGCTATTCGCGTCCCTGCCAAAGTATCATTCCAGTCGTTTCAATTCACTTGAGTAAAAGGCAAAGCCCTTACACTGGCCTATAAGGCCTGATAGGTTCCAGGCCTCCTCCCTTTGCCCTTCACCCTTCTGGTCTCTCCCTCTTCTCGTACCACTCCAGCCCCTCTGGCCTCTGATGTCTGGACTGTGCGGGCTTGCTCCTACTCTGGGTATTTGCACTGCATTTCCCTCTTTTGGAATCATCTCCCTTCATGTGTCCTCATGGCTTCCTCTCTAACTCTTAGTCAGGATCAAAGTCACCTTCGTGAAGCTCGCCTGGACCATCTTGTTTAAAATTGTAGTCTCTCTCTCTCCCCCCGCCCCTCCCTCCTCCTCCTCCTCCCCCCCTTTCCTCCTCTCTCTCTCTTTCTCTCGTGTGTGTATGTGTGCATGTAGGTGGGGATCCCTTTTGTTTATGATTTCTCTCCACTCTCTAGCACATGAGCTCCATGAGGGTACAGATTTTTGTGTGTGGTTCTGCTTTTTCCCAGCACCTAGGGCAGAAAGTAGCACATAATAGGCATTCAGGAAACATTTGTTCAACAAGTAGATGAAGCTTGTTGTAAATTTGAAATGTGTTCTAGATTAGATTTTCTTCCTTTTATTACTTAAAATCTGTTATATTGAACCTCCTGCTTCACTAGGTTGAACATTGATCGATATACACATTTTCAATAATTTTGGCTTTCTTCCTGGAGAAAAATATCTTCTGGGGTGGGGGCAGGAGGTTGTGTTTCCTAAAGTGAGTGTGTTTCCTAAATCTATGTGTGCAAATTATCAGCGTGGATACATGTAGGAAGAGTTGGTGCATATGAAGAGCTGGAGACGCTGGCCAGAACAAGTAGTAGCAGGTCCTAATCAGGTCAGATAGGATTTTGCTTTATAAGAGCTGCTTTAGAATCCGGCCTTTGTACTCACTAGTGATGTGGCCTTGTGCAGATGATCTCTTCTCAGTTTTATAGTCTATAAAGTGGGCATGACAACTTCTGTGTGGTTCACTTCACTGACATGTTGAAAGAATCAAATGAGGGACCCGCTCTTTATAAACCTCATGTTGCTATAATGACACCATTGTCTGTTCTGCTCTGTAGATCATTTCTAGCAAATTGAAATGACAACTGTCAGTGCCACCTGGTTCCTTTCTGGGTCCCTTTTCTCAAATGTCACATTTTATTTATTGATTGATTGATTGATTGTAGAAATGAGGTCTCACTATGTTGCCCAGGCTGGTCTTGAACTCCTGGCTTCATGTGATCCTTCCACCTTGGCCTCCCAAAGTGCTGGGATTATAGGCTCGAGCCACAACGCCTGGACAAATGTCACATTATTGGTGTATGTTGGTCACTGTATATGGAGGCTCAGAAAAATTTTGATTAGTATGTTAAATGCAGAGGAAAAAATATATATCCCCAGCGAGCTATATTTTAGAGCCAAATGTAAACGATAATTAGATTAACTTTTGCCTTGGTTATCAGTGTTCTTAGTTATCTGAAAGTTGACTGTATAAATATGTATTATTAATATGTAAATGATATAATCATTAACATATGATTAAAATATAGGCAATATGATATATAAAGAGAGCCAACTTTCAGATAATTAAGAACATTGCTTTTATGTTTCTATACACTGGATTTCATTTTGTAGACATCTCTGTTTTTTGAATTTTTTTTTGCTCACTCTTGGCAGAAACAATTCTATTTTCTTTGTAAATGGAAACTGCATGTGATTTTGTAGTGAGTAGTGTTGAATGTATGATTTGGATTTATTTTTTCTCTTTGACTGCTGAAATAAGTTTTTTTCCATTTAAAAAAAAGTTTCCGAATATTACAGGGGTACAAATGTTTTGGTTACATCAATTGCTTTTGTACTGCTTGAGTCAAAGTTATAGGTGTGCCCATCACCCAGATAGTGTACACTGTACCCATTATGATCTCACCCATCCCTTTGCCCCTCTTCCACCTGCACGACTTCCATTGAGTTTTACTTCCATCTGTGCACGTGAGTGCTGATCAGTTAGTTCCAGTTTAATAGTGAGTACATGTGGTGTTTGTTTTTCTATTTTTGTGACACTTTGCTTATGAGGATGGTCTCTAGTTCCATCCAGATTGTTGCAAAGGGTATTATTTCTTTTTTTATGGCAGAGTAGTACTCCATGGTGTACATAAACCACATTTATTAATCCACCCATGAATTAATGGACATTTGGGTTGATTCTACATTTTTGTGATTGTGAATTGTGCTGTTAAAATACAGTTTTTCACATAATTTTCTGGAGCAGCTATCTTGTTAACCTTAGGGAGAATGATTTTTTTTTCTTAAACTTACTGGAAGTATTTCTGTTGGAAAGTACAACTGAGAGGAGGAAGTTTTCAGCCTAAGCTGCTTTTGGGACTCCCAGTAGGCCTTGATAAGTTTTCAGTGTCAAAGAGGAATGTTTTAACAACTGTGTTATCTGATAGTTTTCTTTCTTGCATGATTGGCTTGTTCATGCTCTAAACTTAAGACTGGTGAAGAAAGTAATATGTCTGTGTATTTTCGGTTGCTGGCACTAGTGACCTACAGGGACTTGGGAATTTATTACTGTCTGTTTAGCAAAGAATTCATTTAGACAAAACTTCTGTAGGCACTAGAATAATTTTTCCTTTTCTTTACATACGTTTAGACAATTGAAATCCTATCTGAAAGCATATTTCCTATGTAGGAGGAAGGAATCTTGGTTTGTGCTATGTGCTTTCAACCTTCTGACTTTGCTTATAGATGATCAGCATTATTGCTCCTTCATTGTCTGTCTCCCAAAGGTTGTGCTGTAGTTAACATTTTTTACTTTTCTGAATGTCTAAGGATATTTGACATGCTTACAGGGAAGTCTTTTCTGGTATCAGATTTGACCTAAGAGCTTTGGAGAGAGTATATAATTTTTACGGTTTTGGCATGACCAAAGAGTATTTCCTCTGCATCTGAGGCATGTAACTGCAAACTGATTTGTTTGTTGTTGTCTCTAAGAGGACCAGTTTTTTGTTTGTTTGCATGTGCTGTTTCCTATCTGGCCCTAGTTGCATGAGAAACAGATGGTTCTCATAATAGATTCATCAGTTGGCTCCTTTTGTTGCATTTGAGCATTGAGGACAAGGACCACGAGTTTTTTTTCTCTCATTGTATTTTTAGTTCTGAACACCTGGCATCTAGATAGTATATAGTGAAGATTATTGAACAAGAGAGATAAGATATCAGGGAAGATGATTAAAGATCACAGAAGATAAATGATTGGTATTAGGTCTGTTCCAAAACTGACTTGTAGGCCGGGCACGGTGGCTCACGCCTGTAATCCTAGCTCTCTGGGAGGCCGAGGCGGGCAGATTGTTTGAGCTCAGGAGTTCGAAACCAGCCTGAGCAAGAGCAAGGCTAAAAAAAGAAATAGGAAGAAATTAATTGGCCAACTAAAAATATATAGAAAAAATTAGCCGGGCATGGTGGCGCATGCCTGTAGTCCCAGCTACTCGGGAGGCTGAGGCAGGAGGATCGCTTGAGCCCAGGAGTGTGAGGTTGCCGTGAGCTAGGCTGACGCCATGGCACTCACTCTAGCCCGGGCAACATAGTGAGACTTTGTCTCAAAAAAAAAAAAAAAAATCAAAACTGACTTGTAAAGAAGCTTCCCCCCCCCCCCGCCAGCTATAAAATTTTTATAAGAACTATATTGGGTTGGAGTTTGGGATTCACTCTTCTCATTGCAAACTGTTAAAAACTTCAGACTTTTCTTGTTGGGTTTAGTTCCGAGGAGGAATTTATTAAGGAGGCTATTTATAGTGGAAATTTGAAAGAATGTAAAAACCACCTAATATTACCTAAAGATAGGTTGTTTCTGGAAGTCGCTGTGGTTTGTTAAAGCAGAAATGATATATCTTTAGAGAAACCATTTTTCTTGGAACATACCTAGAATGGTAGACTGAGAAGATGTGTAAAATGCAATTGAAGGTGAAAGAATCTTGCTTTGAGGCTCTCACTTTCATTTGCATCAAATCTTATGTTTATTCTTGAAAGGAGCTCTGGGAATTTATAGAGTAGTTAGAAAGAGTCTTTAGAATATAGTGCTCTGTGTGATATCCGAGATATTTTACACGGCTATATAAATTATTGCTATTTTTTCAAGTAGAGATAATTTTTACTTCAAGTTCTTTCCCCTCTAATATTGTGCATTATGAAGTTCCTTTTGTATAATAATATCCGTTTTATGTTGTCCAGTGGGGTATGCTTTGTCTTTAAAAAGGAAAAAACAATTGGTGTACAGGGAGTATAGTTTACTCTTATGCATTCAGTTTTCATTATTGGTGCGGTAGAAAACCCCAAACCATTTGCTAGCTGGGCCAAAAACTGTATATTTAAGTTTTATATCACTTTGTCTTAATTTTCTTCATATGGTCTGTGAGAAGTTTTTAGGTTTAAAACATGACATTTGTTTAAAGCAAGACATTTGTTTAACAAAACGTTATTTTATGAAGGAAATATGAGAAAACATTAAAGTAAAACCAATTTCTTTCTCTCATTTTTCTCTCCCAGCATTTTTGAAACGTTGGGGTTGTTGGAGTGGTTGGATTTTCCCTGGAATTGAGTGAGAAATTCAGAAGACTGAAGCCCAGGCTTACTGTCTACCTTTCACGGAGGCCTAGCCGTGAGAGGACAGAAGAAGGCACGTGGCGAATCATGACAGCTGACAAAGACAAAGACAAAGACAAAGAGAAGGACCGGGACCGAGATCGGGACCGGGAGAGAGACAAAAGAGACAAGGCAAGAGAGAGTGAGAATTCAAGGCCACGCCGCAGCTGTACCTTGGAAGGTGGAGCCAAAAATTATGCCGAGAGTGATCATAGTGAAGACGAGGACAATGACAACAATAGTGCCACCACAGAGGAGTCCACAAAGAAGAACAAAAAGAAACCACCAAAAAAAAAATCTCGTTATGAAAGGACAGATACTGGTGAGATAACATCCTATATCACTGAGGATGATGTTGTCTACAGACCAGGAGGTAAGGGGCATTACATTTGTGTCTTTACTTTTGTTTGTATGGGGGAATGATCTTAGTATCGTGGTGAAATAAATACACTTTCTGTGTGTTAAGGCGGGCTTGGAACCCAGAAAAGTAGATAATAGTTTTGGGTAGGAAAATTCGGTTTAACCAAACATGTGACCCACTTTTGGGCAGATGGGTTTACTGACTTCCTTCTTGTGTCTCTCTTGGTCTTCTGTCCTGGATTGTGCATTTTTGAGTTCTTTCCCTGTTTTCACATGCTGTTTGTTCTCTCACTTAACCACCTGCTTAGTATTTTTCATTCTTTGAATCCACTCTTTTTATCTTCAACCACAAATTAGTCTGTGATGACCCTACAGAATGGAATACATGGTGGAGACAAGTAAGCCTTAGGATTCTTGGAAATAGGAAATTTTATGTTGGGATGGGATTGACCAGAAAGAAGCTAGAGAGGTATTTTTAATGGCCTTCAGACCAAGGTTTATTGCCTCTGTTAACCTCTTTTCCAAAGTTTTGTGCTTCAGGCCCTCGAATCAATGATAATAGTTGAAGCCATCTAACCTGTTTGGTATTCCAGAAAATGTATTACGGCCATTCAATGTATTGTGGCTTTTATAGCTTTGCTTAGAGAGAGACAGAGCCAGCTTTTAGATGAGATGCAGGGAAACAAGTGAACCAGAACTTGTCAAACACTAGGAAATCCTAACTTTTTCGTTAGATGTATTGTGTGTGTCAAGATACTTTTCTTACAGAAGCCAGTAAAACTAGCAAAGATTGACATGAATTTCATATGAGATGTAATTAACAGATTAAAGCTTCCCGGTTTGATGTTCTTCCAAGGACCAGATTAAAGTACTTCTGTGTTATGTCATTAACCTGGAACAGTCATTTTATTGAAGAGTATGGTAACTATTCTGAACTTCATGTAAAGTTCCAGATTTTTTTTCCCATATGTAAATTAGTTTTCAATTTCAAAAGATAGCAGTATTAAAACTTAACACAAACTTGTATTCACAACTACAATTTCTTGGTTGAAGATTAACTGAGAAGATACTTATATGAAATAAGATTATATCAGAGTTGCGGTTTTAGAGCAGTTACAGCTCTGCTGCAGTGATGTAGTGATGTGTACGTTACAGTACTATAGGTGTTTATCTTTGATTCAGACTTAGATATCGGGCAGTAAGAATTTCTTAGTGTCTAAAGAATCTCTTGTAGAGTTACCAGAAATTGTTCGTTTAGGGCCTGTTTAGTTCTAAACCATGAGAAAGGAACAGAATATCTTGACTTATTTAGATGTAGAGTACATTATGATAACTTAAATATAAGGAAAGATCTACTTATTATTGTTTTCTCTCGATAATTTAATGTGGTAATGCAATTGTTTGGATCATGGTCAAAAGGCCAGCTACCTTGTGTGGTATTGAGTACTAGTTGTTATCAATGTTTATAAAATGGAATGTTACTCCTGTATCAGTGAGGACAGTTCACCAACACGTTAGTAATTCACATACATTTGGAAAATGCTGCCTATACTGCCCTCCTCATGAGAGATTCATAATTAGTGACTTCCAGAAGTCCTACAGTTAAGGAAACCTCTAACATGACAAACACCTCTTTTTCCCATTTATGGGACTGTGGCACTCTGTTTCTGCTGAGTATCTCCCTAAGAAAAACTAGTTTGGAGAAAACAGATTTGAGAAATGTTGCACATTCAACTTCCACCTTCTACAAGGTGACAAGATCCTCTCTTTGGTTTTCAGAATATGTAGAGGGAGATTGCTGAGGGCTTATTTATAAAACGGTTCGTGGTAAAGTGCTTTGGGAAGGACTGTATTTATGGTGGCAGGCATTGTTTTAAAAAATCTGAAGACCTTTGTGAAATGTGAAAAAGGTATGTTCTCTCTGGAAGTCAAATTTGTTATAAAGAATCCATAAAGGCCAGAAATGCTGTGGAAAATTCCTGTGGCACCCAAAGCATAACCCTTTGTACTTGGATGGGGACAGTGCTGTGGCCTGGGGTTTGTACCTAGCCAGGTCCATTGGATATTTGACTCTTTGATAAGGAGATTGTCTTTGACCTTCCCATTGGTTTCTTTTCTTTTTTGGGATGCATTTGAAGCTAAATAACTTGGTTGCCATCTCCACATAACTTCCTTCTAGATGGGGGTTTGTTAAATATTGCCCATTTTTTAGGTTTACTTAAACTGAAGAATCAAAAGTTAGGGTACTGCGATGCAATTTCCAGATGGGAGTTGATTTTTTTCTTTCCTTTGTTTTCCTTCCTGTTTTTTTTCTTGATTTAAACTACTTTAATAACGTCCTTTGTTAGTGATGAAAAACCCTTATCCTCACTCAATTGCAAACATTCTGTATGCTTAGTTGTATTTTAAATGCTTAGAACCTCTAGGAAATATTATAAGGGACGTCTTCAATGGATTACTAGTTTTTGAATGGTAGATCTTTAGTGCACATTTGTTTCTAGAGAATATAAAGCACAGATTAATATTTTAAAAATTTATTTTTTTTTTAGGCTGGGCGTGGTGGCTCACGCCTGTAATCCTAGCACTCTGGGAGGCCGAGGCGGG